CAAAGAATTCATCGACGCATGCCTCAATAAGGACCCAACATTTGTGAGTAGATACAAGTGTGTATGTGTGTGCGTAGGTGGGCTCTGATTTATTTATTTATTTAGGTGCTTTTGAGGGCAGTTGTTTTTGTTCCTTACTCTTTCTAGTGTGTCAGATTCCATTTAAATAATTTTAAAGACTGCTTTCCACTGTAAGTGGTATAAGTGCTTTTTTTATGTGTGTCTTCCCATCCTTCTCTCTTCAGTTTAAAATAATAAAAGTGGGGGGAGGGTGACCAAAGAAACGATGTCAGAGGCAGCTTCCTAAGGAGCAGGCTAATTTGGGCCTCTTTAAGAAAAGGGAAGGCTGAACCTAAGAGAGAGAATCTTCAATCTTTTCTTCAGCAAAACTTTTATTGTCTGAATTCTGCTCTACAAGGAAATGTTGCACTGGAGAATTTTGATTAGTCATCTTCCTGGGTGTGTACTTTCTAATGCAGAAGAATAAGCAATATAGTCTCTGTGCAACTCGATCATATTTTTAGAGTGCTTGTAAATGTGGATTACTGCTGGCTTTCCTTGACTTCCTGCTTGAACTAAATTCCTAATACAGTACAAATTAAGATCTGAGAGTCAGTTATCTTACTAAATCTCCTCAGCTAATGTATAAAATTGGAGCATGTTACCATAAAGTTAAGTATTTTAAATGTTTCTTACAGCGCCCTACTGCAAAAGAGCTTCTGAAGCACAAATTCATTATGAAAAATGCCAAGAAGACTTCATATCTGACAGAACTCATTGACAGGTTTAAGAGGTGGAAGGCAGAGGGGCACAGTAGTGATGAATCCGATTCCGATGGCTCCGATTCGTAAGTTGGTTTTCACAGTTTAGTCCGAGTTTGTGTGGATTTATTTATGATCTCTACCGGTGTTGCAGTTTCTGTCTCTCATTCGCTCCTCTCCTACGTAACTGTCTTAATCAGTATGTTTTGCATCAGCACTAACCTTTCAAAGGGAAACGGTTTTTTGAACCTAAAGACTGATGCATAAATCCAGCTGTGCACCCATTACTACTTCAGACTTCTCCTCAAACTCAGTTTCAGTTCTGTTTAAGCACTGTGTGTTCCCTAGTCTCAGGTTAGTGGTTAAACCAAAACGCAACTCAATTAGAAACACTGCAGGGCAAGGCTGACGTGTGTGGAGAGGCTTGCACAGTGCCTGTGGAACAGCATCCCTTCTCCAAGTCTGTTTTTCTGCATATCAGATAACTTTTAAATGGGAGACCATGGGAGAAGGAAAGCCTTCCAGGTAGACTAGATCTGTTTGCTTTGATCAGACTTTAACTTATTCAGTCTCTAAAGCTTGTCTTTTCTTCTAAGTTCGGTTAGGTTCAGGGCACACTTACTTTAGGTATGTTGAACTAATCCACATAGGTTTAGTATGTATTTGGGCTGCCCATGCTGCTTCGCATTATGTTGTGGCTGGTGTTACGTAGATGGTATCCTTTTCCTTCAGGGAATCAAGTAACAAAGAAAATAACTCTCATCCTGAGTGGAGTTTTACTACAGTTCGAAAGAAACCAGATGCAAAGAAGCTGCAGAATGGGACGGTATGTATCATCTGAGGAGTTGTTCTTTAAAGTGCTGTTTTGTAGTTATTGTAAGAGGCATATTCATAAATGCTAATAATTATTTTCTTCTTAAGTACTGACTAGCTTTTTGTAAGTCAACAGGCAGAGCATATTAGTGATAATGTCAGCCTCGGTTGCAAAAGATACCTTATAGTAATAGGTCTGTATCTGCTTTATGAAGATGTGAATATTAAATGTTCATATGATATTGAGCAGAATAGCACATATAACTTTGAAAGTCATGTCATGTATTGTCACAGAAAAGTGCAAATCATACACTGTACAACAATGTATTAAAATAACCTGCATTTGCTAATTTTTAGGATCAAGAGCTTGTTAAAACCCTGAGTTGTTTAACAATGATAATCACCCCTGTGTTTGCTGAGGTAAGCTTTGATTTAAAAGGCCTTATGAAAGTATGACAAAACTGTTTGATTACATTTTGTAAACTTTATCTGTTTTGGTCTATTACTCAGCTTAAACAGCAAGACACAAATGATGCTAGCAGAAAAAAAGCAATTGAGGAACTTGAGAAAAGTATCAATATGGCAGAAGCAACATGTCCAGGGATCACAGATAAAATGGTGAAGAAACTTATGGAGAAATTTCAGAAGTAAGTTAAGGGACTTCTATATGCATTTAAAACAAACAAGTTTGCTGCTTTTAATTTAGCCTGCAATTTTACCTCGAATATGTTTGTAGCAAGTGAGGGAGTAAGAGAATCTGCAGTTTTTCTGACCATTGCACTGACCGTTATGTGGTTTTGCAAAGTGAAAATGTAATAAAATTTCTCTTTCGTTTGTAGATTTTCTGTTAATGACTCATCCTAAGAAACTTCACGTAATTGACTGCTGTCTCGTATGGACCCAGTGAAACCCACCAAACTACTTCAAGCTTGGCAGTGCTTAGCTCATGAGCTCCTTGTGCCTTTTGGATCTTTGCAACATATTGATGGTGATTGAGGATTTGAAAGAACCTACTCAACTATTTTGTGGCAGTGCACATGGTTTTATATTTTCAGGAAATTATTTTGTAAAGAACAACTTTTAATATTGTAGTTTCACCTGTTTAATCTGATAAATGTTGAGGTGCAGTTTTGCTTTTAGAAATAACCATTACTTTAGTTAATAGGAAGTGCAAGTACAGTATGTTTTGATGCTGTTTTGTGCCTGTGCACAGGGATGTACAGGTCTTTTGTATTCCTGAGTTAAACTTTTGTAAATCACTAACAAGCTTCAGAGAAAACAGCTTTTTCACAAGCGTATTCAGAACATGTAACGTAGTGGCAAAGGTATTGCTGTAGCACCTGCTTCAACCAGCATAGAGTTATCATGCCCTGGAAAACAAACCTGCAACAGTATCTGCTATAATTCTAAATTGGTACAGTATTTTAGGCAGCTCTATGATTACATATATTTGAGAGCAATATGTCACTAGTTTGCAGGTGATATGTAGCAACAGGAGTATCCTGATGTACAGTACATATATTACCTTTTAGCGCAGGTTTTAAGTAGTAACTCAATCTTATTCATCATGGTAGGAAAATTAAAGCAATACAGTTGAGGGGGTGGGGCTTTTGGCAATAATGGACAAAACCTGAAGTCCAATTTAATTTAATTTTTCTCCTCTGAATATCCATGCCTGGGTGGACGGGAGCCAGAGAAGCCGAGCGTCGCATGATACATACCTCAGAGCAGGTATAACGTGACACCAGCGTCTGTGTGGTGGTGTTGTTTCTCCTGTAAGATATTTATACACGTTTTTGTTCCTAAGTACATTAAATACAGTGCATCAGCATAATTTGTTTATAATTTTCTGAAAGTGTATTTTAAATATGTATTTACCAGTTTAATATGCAAATAACTGAGTTATAGATATTCTTTCACGAAAAGGTAGTACTGTGCAGTACAGAGTGATTTTTTTCTCTTTTTTTCCTCATAAAAAGTAGTTAAGACTATAAAGTTGCTTTCAGTTATATATTTATGGTACTGCTAGATGGGTAATATCTTCTTTTTCTGTTTTTTTTTTTTTTGTTTTGGTTTGTTTTCCTTTTTCAACCCAGTATGTATATTATGCTGAAGTTTTGATTGTTTTTTCAGTACTTAGCTGTGGAACTGTTGGTGTAAATTTATTTTTGATAAAGGCTGGGTGTGTTTATTTTATGGTTCAGACCTGCACATTTTGTTTTTGCACAAAAGTCATTTTAAAGAATCTGAAATATATCTGCCAAATATTGAGAAAGTAATGGTGTGCAAGTAAATATTGCATTTTTAGTCAAATGTTGCCATTACATCGTTTTTATATAAAGGACACTTGTGAGAGATGGTGGTTAGATATGCCAAGGACAATTATTTTCAATGGTGCCTACACTGTAAAAATTAGTTTTAACTCCTTGTTTTAATTTTAAAGAAAATGTTTCTGTTTAAATCTTTCATCTGCTATATAACTGAAATTCGATTAGAATTTATATCTGAGAAAAAAAAGTCTGGAAATAGTTTTTGAAAACAATAATGTTATGGATTAAATAAATATTTTTATAAATGTAAAAGCAGCAAAAGTTGTAAATACAGTTGATTTGAAGCTTTACAAAATAACTGCATCACAGAAACAAATTGTAGTGTTCCTTTAGCTTCTGTAGTTGTTAGTCTTGTAAATCTGTTTATAGATGAAGCTTATTTCAATGTTTGGGGGGGTTTAAATGGTTTAAAAAATAAATATTTAAGTTCTGTAAACTTTCATGTGCTTGTTCTGTTGCTTTGTTGTGGATTTTTGCCCAGCGCGTGGATCAGCCTCGCAGAGGGTTGTGTTAAAGCCGCCCCTTGTGGCTGTTTTGGAAGGGTCCCCGGGTGTCCCTGCCGGCGGCTGCGCCCTGGGGATGGTGCCAGCGCCGCAGAGGTTCCCAAACGTCCCGGGAAGCCACCGTTGTGGATGGGAGGTACAAAAACGCCAGCTTCATCCCAGCAGTCCAGGCCTAGGTCTCATTTCGGAGCCACCCTCGTTTTGCAGAGTCAGAAATGTGGTTTTGCTTCTGTGTTACTTCCCTTAGAACCTTCTTTTATACGGGAGGCTGAGGGAGAGGTGATGGGAATTCCTCCAAATCCTGTCGTGGGTGGCTCTGCGCTCCTAACAAGGGCTTTAATCCATGCAATTCCTAACGATTCCGGGTAGCAGAAACTGAACCCTCACTGTGCACTGACTATAACGTGCTGCAGTGCCGCTTCCATGCGATGGGTGGGATGTGCCCCTTCCTCATGGGACATCGTGGGCATGAATCCATCCCTATACGTATAGAACAGTCTCGTTCTATGAAACAGCCCCGTCAAGAAACGGTTTCATTGCACGGCATGTGGCATTCCAGCTCCTCAGGGCTGTGCAGCCTCAGAGTACCGCTCCTAAGAACGGATATCCATATTCCTGGTTTCCAGAGAGGAGCTGGCTCTCCAGCCCTCCTGCCCCAGCCCCCGTGTGTTAGTTATTGATGAGCTGTGTAACTCGATCAGCACTATTCCATTGCTGGCACGTAGCTAATGGGAAAATTCATCGAAATATTCATGCAGGAACCAGCTCCTTGTTCGTTATGTTCTCCCCCTGTAGATTGAGAAGAACTGATACCGAAGTAGCCTTAAAGTAGGCTGAATCACAGAATAATGTGTTTCGTCTTTGGTAGCTGAGTCCTTTATCAGCGCAAGGAATCTTTAAAATCCCTGGTCTCGCTGCTCTAATACACTTTGTACAGTGAACGTGTAGTAATCGTAAAAAAAAAATCGCATTCGATTGAACGTCTAGTCGAATAGGAATGCAGGTAGAGTCTTAATGTTTGCACAAAGTTTAGCAGTTGTTAAAGATACAGCTTTTATCACACTGTTTTATGACTTAACACTGGAATAAAATTGTTCCTTCCTGCAAAGTTTTAGCGTGATGTATGTTGACTTGCCTTATTTCATATTTACCAATAACCGAAGTTGCTCTTAAATATGGAGCGGAATTCGACACATTGAAACCTGTTTCAGTGCTTCAAGAAAGCCAGTTTATGCAGCCACGTTGTGTTGAGAACGGTAATTCCTGTCCCGCATTCCCTGGCTGCCCTGTTCCTGCATATCGGGTAAGACTCGATGCTAAGTCACGGTGCACACAGCCTGCCCCAGCGCGCTCTAGGCCATGGAAAAATCCTAAAATAGATTCTGGATCCTTGTCCCTCCTTGTCAAGGCTGTTCTTTGCAGCGTGGTCCCTGCTGGAGGGTGTAGCCCCCTCCTCGGGGCCGTGCTCCAGGGAGAGCTGGCCCGGGACAGCCTTTGCCTGGGATTTTCAGGTGTGTGAAGGCTGTGTGTGTTTTCCAGCTGAAACACTGCTGCTTTTCTCTACCCCTCGTGGGCACAGCCTGCCCTACATGAATGCCCTATTCAGAGGTGTCGAGTGGGGTGCAGGTAGCGCTCAGCTTTTCCAGCAGCCCCAGGGAGCTGTGGATCCCGCGGCAGCCGCCCGGGAACGGCCCACGGAGCATCCCCAGGAGCCCTGGGGCAGCGAGGAGGGCGGCCGGGGCTGCCGGGGGCTGCAGCTGCCCCAGCGCGGGGAGGGACACGAAACCCCAGCGTGGGCAGCTTGGCTTTATGGCCCAGCTTTGACAGCAGCGAGAGGCGCTCGCGGCGCGGCAGGGCCCTGAGCCCGCTCCTTGCATTGCAGCTGACCTTCTCCTTTCCCCCAGCTTGCCTGTCCCTGAAATCCATTCTGAGAATGGATGGGCCGGGTTTCATAGCTACGGGTTTACGGGGCTGGTGGGCTCCTTGCACTAGCATCCTATGGAATCTTAGAGGCTGGTTCTTAAAAATAACAAAATGCTTCCCTAAAATCTTTTAGCATCGTTCTTTAGTTGTCTGGGACCCCTCTCCAACATGGGTTTCCGGTAATTCTAGGGGTAAGCAAGTTTCTTTCCTTTTTCTTTTTTCTTTCTTTATTTATTTTGTATACACTTCTACCTCAAGCATTTTTATGCTTTTGCTCTTTCAGCGAACAACGAACCATTTCCCTGCCCCCCCACTATCGATTTTTAAGAATTCCCCTCTCCTGCTTCTCTTTTATAACTTCATGGAAACATCCCTGGTAAAAATAACCCTGTGCTCACGCAGCAAACAGAAACGTTGAGCTGCACCATGGTTACAACGAGCTTTCCACCGCCAAGGGTGAGCACCAGCTGCCTCCTAGCGCCCTCCCAGCATCTTTTCCCCCATGTCCATTGCCAAGGATGGGTGGGAAGGAGCAAGGGGCTGTGGGGCGCTGGGGCTGGTGGCAGTGTGGAAGGAGCAGCGCCAAGGGGTGAATCCCGTTCCCGGGAAGACGCGGGATGCTGTTGGGATGGTTGGTGAGCACCGCTGCGGTGCTGCACGGTGGGAGGCTGATGCTCAAAGCAGGTTGGGGGATGATGGAGCGGGTCGCTCAGCTGTGAGCGTCGCAAGGAGCGCTCAGGAGCGCCGCAACGTCCTGCACGGGGCAGCAGCCACAACCTTCACACAGAGCAGCTGGTCCAACCCGAACCCCCCCGAACATCCTGCTCCTCTTCCCATGGAGACGCCCTGGAGCTCAACCCCACCGGGACCACACGGGAAGGCCCTGGTGCCGCTTCCAGGTGTGGAGCGGGGGACAAGCCCTGGTGGGGCGCCCAGGTGGGGTTGCAGGGGACAGGTAGGTCCAGCAGCGCCGTCGCTGTCCATGAACACCCCAGCACGTGGGCACCGCGAGACCCCACCGCGCCGAGCGGGCAGCTCTCCAAGGCGCTACGTGAAGTAGCCAGCGGGG